TGAACACCAAAGTGAGGGACCAGGCATATTCTGAATTAAAACAAATTAAGGGCTGGGGATTTAGCTCAGCGGTACCAGTGCCAGCCTCACAAGTGCAAGGTCCTAAGTTTGATCCCTGGTAACAAAACAAAACGAAATAGAAATTAAGTCAGAACATGGGCCAGGGATTTAGCTCAGTGGTTCTGCTGCCTGCCTGGCAAGCACAAGGTCTCAAGTTCGATCCCCGGTACCAAAAAACAAAAAATAAAAGCCAGAACAAATTGTTGTAGTTTGGTTGATATCATATATATATCTGCAAACATCAGTTTATTTACTAGCCAAAGATCCTTTTTTTTTTCAAGCCACTTAGTAAATAGTCACAGTAAAACCCAAACATAGGCAGGCCATTCCTAATTTAGCATTCAGATGCATTAATATCCCTTCTTCCTATTCGGCATGCATTAGACCCTACATTTTAGCCCATGTAGTCCTTAAATGAGCAAGGGAAACTTATTTGACCCAGTTCTGGCCAAAGGATTTCAGAGAAAAGAGTTATCTTGGGAGAAAGGATGAGGGTCTGGACTAGATCTGAATAAAGAAAACTGGATGGATGCCACACCATACTCGGTGCTTCTTCCTGCCTCTCGGGATGAATAGCTTTGCTTCTGTAATTTTCTATGTGCACAGTACATCACAGCTTACAAAGCATACTCATTCTCATACTTATGATCCCAGATGCAACCCTGTGAGGCTGGGAGGGCAAGTATTACAATATTACTCCTGTACAGATGAAGAAACTTAGGCTTTAGGAAGGGAAGTAACTTACTGCTTAAGGTTACCCAGCTGGTAAAGAGTAGCTTTGAGAGCTGGGGATGTAGCTTAGTGATGCTGTGCTTGCCTGGCAAGCACAGGTCTGAGTTCGATTCTCAGTACTGGGGAAAAAAAAAAAGGAGTAGTTTCAAGGCTGTGTGATGCATTGAGGAAAACTTGGGACTTTGGATCACAAAACTGGGTTTGTTTCCTGGCTCCTGCTAACCAGCTGTATAGTATTGGGTCACTGTAACTACTATGAGTTTGTTTCCTCATTTATAAAATAGAAATAATACCAGTGTATTGTTATAAGGACCAAAGGACACAATACTATGCAATCTATAAAGGCTTGTACCATACAAGGAGTTTTCTTTTTCTTTTTCTTCTTCTTTTTTTTTTTTTTGGAAACAAGGTCTTGCTAGGTAATTCAGGCTGGTCTTAAACTCACTATGTAGCCCAGGCTGGCCTAGAACTTGGTGGCAATCCTCTTTCCTCACCTCCCAAGTTCTGGGATTACAGGCATACACCACCATGCCTGGCTGCAAAGGTGTTGTATTAATAATGGTCAAGATCAGCACTTGAGCTCAGTAGGTCAGATTCAGGTATCTAGTACTCTTGGCCTTATACCATACCTTGTCTTGGACACTGCCTCATTCATAATGTTTTTCCGGTGTCCGTCCCTTTTCCCTTGCCAGCCAGTCCCCCCACCCCCACCTAATTTACTCATTGCTGATTGATAACCACCTCTCTAGAAAACCAGTTTTGTTTTCAGTCTCTTGGGCCTTGTGACTGCTGGCCACAGTCCCCCGCTCCCCCAGCCTTCCTCCCTGGGCCAGCCCATTGCTGGGATTGAGGGGATACTTCTCAGTCATACTGCCACACCAGCTTCCCTATGCTTTGTAGAATTGAAAATTACAGGCCAGGTGTGGTGGCACACGCTTGTAATCCCAGCACTTGAGAGGCTGAGGCAGGATGATCGCCAAGAGTTTGAGGTCAGCCTGGACTACATAGTGGGTTCAAGGCCAGTCTGGACTATGTAGCGAGATCCTGTCGTCAAAAAAAAAAAAAAAAAATTTTTAAATTGAAAATTATAGGCCCTGGAGTTTTGCTATGAAATGCCAGAGCCTCCCAAACAATCACAAATAATGACACTGCCCCCAGAGCTCTTTAAGTCTTACTTAATTTCCCTAGTGCCCTTGTTATAGGCATTTTAAAACTCCATTTCCTGGAAAGGGAAACTGAGACCCAGAGAGGATGAGTGCCTCATACTTGGTTGCCTTGAGCCAGCAGAGCTGGGGCTAGGACTTAAATCCCTAGGCTTCCACTCTCCACAACCTTAGGGGCCCTTATTTCCTTCCCTGATCCATTGTCTAAAGGTCTCTATCTGAATGTCCTGAGGTTGAACATATACACATTTATTCATGCAAATAAGATGGAAATATTGCTACTGTGAACCAGAAGGACAACCACATAGAGGAAGCTGGTTTCAGGGGAAGCTGGTCTGGGAAAGAGCTGGGACCAAACCCTAAATCCTGTGCAGTCCCCACCACCAAAGTTCCTTTCTCTTTTCCAGCACCACCCACCCACACACATACTGTCTTTGATTTGCTTGTTTTGCTCCCCACCACCACCAGCTATCAAACTCAGGATCTTGCACTTGCCAGGCAGTCGCAGCACCACTGAGCTACATCCGCAGCTACTCTGTTTTGCTTTCTGAGATTGGGTCTTGCTTTGTAGTAGTTCGGGATGGCCTCAAACTCGAGGTGATCCTCTTGCCTGTCTCCCAAGTGTTGGTATTATTACAGGTGTGCACCACCGCACCCAGCTTGTCTTTGTGTGTGTGTGTGTGTGTGTGTGTGTGTGTGTGTGTGTGTGTGAGACATGGTCTTACTATGTAGTTCAGCCTGGCCTTGAACTCAGTATGCAGTCCAGACTGGCCTTGAACTCACAGCAATCCTGCATCAGCCTCTCAGTACTGGGATTGCAGGAATGCACCACTATGCCCAGCCTGTTGTTGATTTTTGAGGCTTTTGAATTAATGGTGAAAGATCAAGCTGGTGGGAGGATGGTAAAGGATCTAGGATAAAGGATATTATAGATCCCTGCACTTGGACACCTTTGTGTGTCTGTCTCTGCCTACGTAAAAATAAAAATAGCTAATAGTTATTGACCAAGTACAAAATGTTTTATATGTATTGACCTATGAAAGTCGTTTTTGTTTTTTTTTTGGTTTTTTGTTTGTTTTTTTTTTTGTACTGGGGATCGAGCTCAGGACCTTGTACTTGTAAGTCTTATAATAACCAAATGAAGTAGGTATCACTGTATCCCTGCTTTAAAGTTAAGAAAATTGAGGCATGGACAGGGTAAGTGATTTGTTCAAGGTCATAGCTAGGAAAGAGCAAAATCAGGACTTTTTAGTTAATCTGGCATCAGTTTCCCAAGCCCCTGACCACCTAGGTTACATCAGTATAAAATGGTGCTCAGTACCTTTCATTGTGTATCTGTCTCTCTGTTGTCTGTCTGAATGGAATTTGGCATGGTGTCAGTTCATAGAACAGGAACTCGTTTCTCTCTAGGTATTCCTACCCATTCTGCCCAGTAATTAGGAGCCTCCCTAACCATGAGTGTCCCTCTTGTCTCCCCACAGGTCATTCCATCCAGAGGGCCCAGAAGAGGGAGGAGGCACTGCCTCCACAACCGCAGCTTCACCCACAATGCAGAGCATCAAGTGTGTAGTGGTGGGTGATGGGGCTGTGGGCAAGACGTGCCTGCTCATCTGCTACACCACCAACGCCTTCCCCAAGGAGTACATCCCCACGGTGTTCGACAATTACAGTGCCCAGAGTGCCGTAGACGGGCGCACAGTGAACCTGAACCTGTGGGACACTGCGGGCCAGGAGGAGTATGACCGCCTCCGCACACTCTCCTATCCTCAGACCAACGTCTTTGTCATCTGTTTCTCCATTGCCAGCCCACCCTCCTATGAGAATGTGAGGCACAAATGGCATCCAGAGGTGTGCCACCATTGCCCGGATGTGCCCATCCTTCTGGTGGGCACCAAGAAGGACCTGAGAGCCCAACCTGACACCCTCCGGCGCCTCAAGGAGCAGGGCCAGGCGCCCATCACACCACAGCAGGGCCAGGCGTTGGCCAAGCAGATCCACGCTGTGCGCTACCTCGAGTGCTCGGCCCTACAGCAGGATGGCGTAAAGGAAGTGTTTGCTGAGGCTGTCCGGGCAGTGCTCAACCCCACACCGGTCAAGCGTGGGCGGTCCTGCGTCCTCTTGTGACCCTGGCACTCAGCTTGCAAGCTGTCCCTTCCCTCCCCCCACCAGTTGTGCCTTGGCGCCTTGTCTGCTCCCAGCTGTGCCTTAAGGACTAATTCTGGCATCCCTTGCCAGGGGGCTCCCTGAACGCCTTTTTCTCTTTAAGGAGGCCCACAGGGAAAAGGGGCTTCAGGCCCCACCACAGTCTACTTGGGAAAACCAGGTATTCTTATGAGCTCACCCAGGCCAAGGCTGACCATCCCCAAGAGGCCAACTCAGTGCCCCTCTCCCTATTTTCCGCTACTGACCAATTCATCCAGCTTTCCAAAAAGTTGTTGCTGCCTATTGTGGTGCCTCCTCTCAGGTTAAGGGCTCTCCGCTGTCTCTAACCTCTGCCCTCGCTGCTCTTGGAATTGCCCCCCCACGCACACCAAGATGCTCTCTTCCCCAAGGAAGGAGCCACAGAATCCTGAGAAGATAAATGCACCCTAATCTGTCCCATGTGCCCAGGCCTTATGCATCCGCTGACTGACTCAGCCCCCATGCTCCTGGGGGCCTTTCCAACCCCCATCAGCATCAATAAAACCTCCTGTCTCCAGTGGCCCCGGCTCCTCCCTGTGTGCTGGGCATTAGGGGGTGGGCATGGGCTGGGGCTCCCCAGAGACTGGGAGCCTTTTGTTTCCTCTGAGAGGGGACAGGAAACAATAGCCTTTATTGTGTGTCCCCGACCCCCAATTTCCTTAACAAAGCTCTATAGCCACAGATGCTATAGTGGACTAGCACGAAGACCTTGAGGAAAATCTTCCTAATCGAAGTAAGGTTCCGAAAGGGAGAGGTTGAGAGCCATCAGTCTACAGGCAAGTACTGAGAGGCGTTTCCTTACACCTCCAACAGGACATCTTCAATGACATAAATTGCAGCTGGAATGCAGGCTTCTCGATTGAAGACTCCCCAGGTATCATGGCTTCCAAGCCTGGAGTCATTACAGGGACAGCTGTCGCTCCTGCTCACCAAAATGGATGTTTAGGCCAGCTTCAGGAGACTAAACCTGAAAGCTCTGTGTGTGTGAATAATATCCTGCCAGGGATTTATTCCCTCCATTCCAGAGTCCATCCCTTACTTTAGTTCCTATAAAACAAGGATATGAATCCTGAGACTAGCAAGCCTACCCCAGATTATTGGTAAAAAACAAAAATTTATTTTTATTTGAAATAAAATGTACAACCAAAAGAACTCAAGATTTGGGGCATTAGGGAGAATGAAGGGACACCAAGGAGCCCATTTAGTCTAGGGAACTGTCTCTGACCCCTCCACCCCAAGGTCTAAGCCTGTGATTTCAGAAATGAAGAGAAACACATGCTGTGATGGTGATTTTTCTGGGATGGGTCATCCTTCAGGTACAGACCCCACCTCCATCAGATGAGAAGAGCCACACTGCAGAGCCCTTGGAAATCATGTATTTGGATCCAATGAGGTTCAGATAGGGAAGGGTACACACCATAGGGTACACACCATAGGGCACACACCAGTTCAAAGTGAGGTCAGGACTAGAACACCTGGGCAATCTTTACAGGACTACAGACACAGACCTGGATGTGCACAGCAGATTGTTAGAAAGGTTGGGCAAGTGACTGGAGAGAGATGGCTGTAGTTTTCAGGTAACACGCTGCTCAGCAGTCCCTGACATCAGTGAAAGGTGGGTGTATAAAGGCCAAAAACTGCGTGGTGTCATAAACCCTGGGACTTCGTTTTAGCACCAAGTGGTGGAGCTCTTCTGCCATCTTAGCTTCTTGGGCCTCTCAGTTACGGTGATGTTACTTGAAGGCCCTTGTGCCTCTGAAGGGGTTGAGGAAAAGAAACCAGCAGTGCTGGGGTCAGCCTTGTCTCTGCCCTTCTGCCCTTCTCCCTCCCTTTGAAAGGGCCTAGAGAGGAAACAACCGGATGGGGAAGGCCAGAGTTGTTTCTTGTTTCTGGACAGTGGGCTCTCTTCCAGCAGCATTGGGGTTTAGAATCGCTTTTCTTCAGGCTGAGAGGTTATGAGCAGCTCTTTGTTCCCAAAGTCCCACCAGGCTGTCATGTGGAATGCCATGTTGGTTAGGACAACGGTGTACTCCAGGATGGCAAAAATGGTGTAAACTGTTGTAAGGACACAAGGATCAGGGTGCTGAACCTCCTGTTACCCCTTTTACAAGCCCCTTAAATCATTGTACTATTAGCCCACCAGGAGAAACACAATGGCAACCAGAGCCCAAGACCACTGCCCACTATCCCCACAGTCACTCATGACCATCTATAGATCCTAGCTTGGCCTCACCTCCAGCCTCACAATACATGTTGTGCCGAAAGTAGACAGCCAGAGCAGAGAAGAAGGCGACAAAGTTGATGATGAAGAGCCGCTGTTTCCAGCTGTAGGACTTGCGATCCTAGGGGATGGGCTGTCTGACCACTCCGCAGCTTGTACAGTGTGCATGGGCAGCCCCCGCTCCTGCCCCCAGCTCCAGGACTTTCCCTCCCTTGGCTCCCACAGTAATCACAGAAGCTGGTAAGCAGCAGGAATGATGAGCAGGTCACATCCCTGGGTTTTGGGAACTGATAATGCCAAAATTCCTGCCCCTCCCATTTCAGGGTGATAAAGTGTGAAAGTTACATGGTCACCCGCCAACTCAATACCTCCAGGTACTGTGGGGCAAGGAAAGGCATGGATACTGATGGGTCCCTGGAATTACTAGACCCCAGTCCCCTGATAGTGTTCCTAACCTACTGGGGCCTGGCTGCTACCACTTGTTAAACCACCATTTGAAGCCTCCATCTCTAAACTGTCATCTCCCGAATTAACTAGACATTGCTCTAGATTGGCGGGGGGTGGTGAGACAGGGTCTCACTATGTAGTTGAGACTGACCTGGAACTCACTATGTAGCCCAGGCTGGTCTCGAACTCAGTAATCCTCCTGCCTCAGCCTCCCAAGTGCTGGGTTTACAGGTGTGGGCCACCACGCCCGGCCGTTGCTCTAGATTTTGACAACAACCCTCTCCTTGGCCCCAACCCCAATACCCCACCCTTCTGTCAGAATTCCTATTAAAACTCCAGTTCCAGAGGGCAGTGATGGCACATGCCTATAACCCCAGGAAGCTGAGGCTGCCCGGACTACATAGTAAGTTCAAGGCCAGCCTGAATCTCAACAAGATCCTCTCTCAAAACAAAAAACAAAACAAAAAACAGTCCAGTTCCCACCTCATCATTACCCACATCCTGAGGGCAGATGACTGATTTTCTTCTGGGCCACCTGGCACCCAGTAGGATTAGATCGTACCTCCTGACTTACTGTGTGCTTCTTGGTCAGCCGCCAGAGAATGCAGGTGAAGAGCATGTGACTGAGTGATGCAGCGATGAACACAATGAAAGCATTCTCGTGGATGGCTGGTGGGAGAGAGAATGGTGTGCGCATAGCTGGAAGCACCTCACCCCCTGGCAGGGAGGTGCAGTCCGGCCCCTTCCCGAGCCCTTCTCCACCCCTCCCTCATCTGGGCACCCACTGAAGTCCTCGGAGGAGGAGACATAGGTGAGCACTAGAAGCGCGAGGTTCTCGATGACGTTGAGGCTGAAGTTGAGCCGGCAGAGCAGGCGGTAGCCAGGACACGGGGAGGCGCAACTGAGGTAGTGGTTCCAGTAGGCGAAGGCCACCATGAAGCGGGGCGCCGAGTGCAGGCCGATGCAGAAGCGCCACACATAACGCTGGGGCACCTCCCCACCAATGGCCGAGCTCACAGAAGGCAGGTAGTTGGGTACCTAAAGAGTTGGGCCCGCATCTGGGCGATGGCTTCCTCCAGCCCCGCCCACCAGGAGGACTTCCCCAGGTGAGTCACAGCCCTCCCCTTCCCCCCCAAGTCCTCTTCAGGCGCCCCCCACCCCAGCCCCTTCCCTCGCAGGCGCTCTCCCTTTCCAGGTCCTGGGCTCAGTGTGTGAGATTCTCATTTCCCAGCTAGCCTGGGATCCCTGCTGGGGTAGAGCGAGCCTTCTCCATCTCCCCTCAAAGTGAAACCTGTGCTTTTGGCCAGGTTGTATAGATAGGTTAGGACGCCCCCTAGCCCTGTAGCTCAGAGCTGCTCCTCAGATAAGAATCTCAGTAATCTAGAACTCCAGATTCAGTGCTGAGGAGAGATGAGCTACTGACAATATGACCTTTTTAAAAGTGCTGCCCAGCTGAGCTGTTCCTGTCACCGCCCCCAGCTCCACTCATTCCTCTGGGGTGCCAAGGTGGTAGAGGGTTCTGTAGGGTAGGCCAGAAAGGCATCCCAACCCTGATTGTTGAAGAAAGTGGGTGCCTCCAACCTGGTCTGATAATGACCCTGTTCTTATGCATTTCTCCTTTCCATCTCTCTCCGTGCCTCAAACTCCTCATTCCTGAAGGAGCTGCAACCTTACTCCTTCAGTGCAGGAAGAAGTTGAGGAAGGAGAGGAGTAATGTTGAAAGGTATGAGAGATGAGAGGATGGGGGATGAAGTTTAGATGGGAATAAGAAAGCCCGACATAGGAGGAGGATCTCTTAGACTCTGGGCATACAGCAGTGCTTTGCAAACTTTAATAACACATAAAACTCACTGGGTAGTTGTGCAGGTCTAGAACCTGAGAATCTGAATTTTTAAAAGATACCCAAACTGGAAGCTACCAATCCACTGCCCAAACTTTCTGTGAACATTTTCAGACACTCAGGAAGGGCCAGGGCAGTGACAGAACCCAGCAACACAGCCAAGAGAATGACTCTGCTCTAACTATACAGGGACCAGTCTTTACAGCTGGAGTTCTGGAAGGTCCCTTCCTTTCTTCCAAAGATGTTGAGTGAATCTTGTGAAAAGGCGGGCAATATTGGAGGTGACTTACAAGGAAGGGGTGGGGCTGAGGGAGGGCCAGCAAGTGACTTCAGACTCTCCACAAAAGAGATGGGTTCCCTCAACTCTATCAGAGGAACCCACAGACTTCTCAGTGGAAAGACCCTGTTCTCAAAGCCATGGCTTGAGGTACCACAGCTTCAGACCAGCTCAGATGTTTACTGACTAATTAGTGAAGAGGAAGCATGAAGCTTTGGAGCTTCACAAAGCTAGGTCTGTATCCTCCAGCTCTCCCTTTATCAGCTGGGTGACAGAGTGATTATGAATTTTAAGGTATGCAAAGCCATCTGCAAGATCTACCACACAGTGCTTTCCTGAAAAGCCTGCAAAGAGGCTGTGAGCCACATGGCCATCTAGCACAAGAAGGCCTCCTTACGGGTGACAGGCAGTACTCGAGACAGTGAGACCTTCTACGCTCCTTAATTTATATGTTGCCCTCTACTGATGCTGAACTTAGTGTGGACACCTGGCATAGCACACTGGTGCGTACCACGATACCCAGCTACTTGGGAGGCTGAGGTGGGATGATTGCTTGAGTCCAGGAGTTCTGGGCTGCAATGTGCTATGCTTATCTGGTGTCCACACAAAGTTTGGCATCAATATGAATTGTGAGGCTAACTCTTTTGAGCCTGCATTGCTTACAGCCTGCTCTGGGCATAATCAACAAAGCAGTCTCCAGCAGCCCTCTCTGTTCCCCTGAGTTAGGTTAGTGATAGTGTTGCCTCCATTGTCTCATTGTGAAGACTGTTCTTTAATCTCAATTAATTTAAGTGGAACAGAACCAGTACTTAAAGCCTAACTGGACAGCCTGAAGCATTCAAGGGCACTGAATTGGTCAAGACCAATGACTAGATAGATAAAATATGGAGTAGGAGGAGGAAGGGGTGGGGACTAGGGTCCTGTGACTGCTGGTATTCACAAATTTCTCTCATATTAGCAGTGGAGTTCGGGTTCTAAGAGCAGGTATTGTCTCTTATGTAACACACACACACACACACACACACACACACACACTCACACACACACAATCAGATACATATACCCCCTCCTCCCACCCGCATCCCAAGCACATAAATTCCCCACTCACCAACTCTACCAGCAATAAGTACCAGCTCACCCCAAACCTCTCCATTAGCACAAAGCTAAAAGTACTAGAGATGAATAGATAACTTCTTCCTGTCAGGGTAGTAGATGAGAAACTCATAAAGGGAGGGGCTGGAGTTGTAGTTCAGTGCACTATACCTGCCTGGCAAGTGCAAGGTCCTGAGTTCAATCCCCGGTACCAAGGGGAAAAATAAAAGGAAAGAAACTCATAAAGGAAGAGTTCCAAAAACTCCCCTATCAGATTTTGTCATTAGCTATCATTTCTTTGGCCTTAGATAAAGTCTCCCCAAATTATAGATGACTTCTATCTTCCTTGCTGCCCTCTACCCCTTGCCAATTAGACAAAAATTCAGGTTCCCATCAATTCTACTTGCTATTCCTCTCTGGACTCCATCCCCTCCTCTCTGTCCTCACAATTCCCATCTTAGCTCTGGTCTCCAGTAGTATAAGACACTGCACTAACATCTACCTGGTCTCCCTACTCTTGCCCCTTCCTTTTAATCTGTTCTTCACATAGTAGTTGGAATCATTTTCTAAAGTTCAAATCTGTTCATGGCCCTTTTCCTACTTGAAATTTTTCCAAAGCTTTCTCTTGCCCCCATGATAAAATCCAAATTGTGAGCCTGATGTTCATAAAGACCTTTCTTTACCACCACCACCACTACCACCACCACCACCACCCACCAGCAACACCACTGCCTCTAAGAAGTCTTCCCTGATATCCACACTGGGTTAAGGACCTCCCCTGAGCCCTGCTGTCCCTGTGTTCCTGTTTGTCACCACAAGAATCCCACCTTACTGTTCTGTGACTGTATCTGAGGACTGCCTCTTGCAGGAATGAGATCTAAGGACAAGTCATCTTCAGCTACATGCCCCTGACACAAACTTCTACCCTGGCCCTCAGGAAAGAACTAGGACTGATCTGGGAAGTAGAAGTTCATCTAGGTTGTACTTTCTAGAATCCTCCTCCAACTCTTGAAGGTCTGTGACTCTACTGAGTCTCAGCCTTATTCTCCATCCTTCTGTCTCTTTCCCCTCTCTAACTTTCTATTTCTTTCCTCCTCTCTGATTCCTACTTTACCACTACCTCCTGACCCAGCCTTAACCCAGGTGCTGGGGAGCCTGGCACTCACCCCACAGTCAGTGGCCACTGTGTACTCAAAGTGGAACACCAAGGACCAGATGATGCAGAAGAAGAAGCCGAACACAGGGAAAGTGATGACCCAACAGACCATGGTTGTAAATCGGAGCCGGAACACGGTCCCATCGGGGTCCAAGGGCTGGGAGGCCGCAGAGAACATCCTGTAGGGAGTAGCCTAAGCAGGGCAAGAGATACAGCTTGTGCCTGATGGGACACTTGAGCCTGGGAAAGGGAAGCCTTTACCAGAACTAGCTCCTCAGAGTATGAGGGAGAACAAAAATGGTAGAAAGGGCATATGGGGAGGAAGAAGAAGAGGAGGAGGAGAAGGAGGGGCAGAGGTAGATGGAACTGAAGTGGCAGAGATAGGCAGGGACAGCTCTTAGAAATCCCCTGGCACATTAACACTCTAGGTCTACTTGAAGAGCATGGACAGCAGAAGCTCCCATGGGGCATGCATATAAGAGCTCTGACAGCTCGCCTCACTCTTACAACCCTGATAGCCAAGAGAAAAAGGATCAGAAGTGAAAATGTTATTATTATCATCTCACAGAGAGGAAGACTGAGGCCCAGAACCACGCCAGGATCAAATAGCTTAAGACTCTTAAGTAGGGCCGGGGATTTAGCTCAGTGGTTCCACTGCCTGCCTCGCAAGCACAAGAACCTGAGTTCGATCCCCAGTACCAAAAAAAAAAAACAAAAAACAAAAAACAAATAGCTTAAGACTCTTAAGTAAAAAAAAAATAATTTAAGGGCCAGGGATTTAGTTCACCTGTCTAGCAAATGTAAGGTCTCAAGTTTGATCCCCAGTACTAAAAAATAAAAATAATAATTTAAGATTTAAAATGTATTATGTACATAAACCAACTTCCCATGAGGAATGTAATCATTATGAACTACAAACATATATCAATAAAAATAAAAATGTAGGCGGCACATGCCTGTAATCCCATCTCTCGGGAAGCTAAGGCAGGAAGATGGACATGAGTTTGAGGCCAGCCTGGACTACACAGTGAGTTTAAGGCCAGCCTGAGAAATATAGCAAGACCCTGTCTCAAAAACAAAAAAAGGGACAGGGATTTAGCTCAGTGGTTCCAATGCCTGCTTTGCAAGCATAAGGTCCCACATTCAATCCATGATTTTTTTTTTAAATGTAATTTTTTTAAAAAAGACTAAGTCAAGCCAAGTAACCTGGGCAAAGGACCCCTGGCTGAAACTGACCACAGCCCTCCTATTGACCCTGACCTACAGCATTCCTCTTTCTCACCCAGGTTCAACAAGGAACAGTGAGAGTGTCCTAGAACCCATTTCAATGGGGTCACTGTCTGCCAGCCAACCCACCCTCTGGTCTGAATGAGCCAAGCCTCAAGCCAGAAGTACCCTGATCCCAAAATATTAAGGTCCTTGTAGAGGCCTAGATTCCCATCTCTTTCCTCTCTGAAAATACCATGTCACCCAAAGAAAAGTTTGGGGGAATCTGAGTGTCATGGGGACCTTCTCCACTCAGCATCAGCCCATTTGCTGGTCCTACTCAGGAACCCTCTGTCAGACGCAGACCCAGGGAACTGGGCTTCCTCCACACCCTTCTTCCTGGTAAAGAACTCCTACCCCAAAACTCTATTCTCCAGACCACTTTGACCACACAAGCTGGGCTTCCTGCTAGGGCAAGTTGAGACAGACAGGTAAGGCTTAGTATTAAAAGGCCCCAAACTAGATCTCCCCTTGGAATTCATACTTCCCTGCGTTAAGAAGACCCCAGGCTACTGGTCCAGCTCCTTGTCAGGGATGGAGTCTCACTAAATAACACTCACGCTGGTTGCTGAAGAATGTGGAGCTTGGATTGAAGGCTCTAGCCAGACTGAGACTGCTTTAAGCCTGGAGGGTCCCACCCGCAACCCCTGCCCTCCCGCCCACAGAGCCCAGTTCTCCATGTCTGCCCAGGCACACAGCCTTCTCAAGATCAACAAGCCGTGTCATAAATCCTGGAACACTCTGCAACAGTAAGAAGAGATAGTGGCTGAGGTCAGCCCACTGTGGTTTCTTTGCCAGAGGTGGGGGTGGGGACCTTTTTGAGGGATGTGTTCAGGAATACATGCAAGTTTCTAGGAAGGAAAAGGGAGAGAGTGGGATCTGACCCTTTTTGATGGGAGCAGGGTTTGGTATAGATCTTGAAACCAATGGAGAATTGACTAATCCTGTGATAACAGTGAGGACCCAAGACAGATTTGGAAAGGCTTGAATATTGCATATCAGTGTCCAGCCTGTACCTGTAGCTTAATGGCAGTTCAGGAGCATCAGCTGAGGTCTAACTGCCAGTAAAAGCAATGAACAGTTCTGCTTTTGTCTATACTGCCCAGAGCACCTGGAATCCTATGCCCAGAAAAAATGATAGTTACTGACTGAGTCAAGTCCAAGGGTACACTCAGAGTGAAGAGGAGACCATGTCCTGTGAAGGTTGCCTAAAGAGAACAGAGCTATGCCTCCTAAAACAGACTCAAGGATCTGCACTACTGCCTTCTTGTCTCTGCAGGGCTGACCTAAAGCTATGAGGAGAAAGCAGTTCTATGGCTATCAAAGCAGAGCCAGGTACAGAGTAGAAATCACCAGGAAGAAAATCTATGCTTGCCGGGGATTTAGCTCAGTGGTACCACCACCTGCCTCTCAAGTGCAACGTCCTGAGTTTGATCCCTGGTACCAAAAAGAAAAAAAAAAAATCTATGCTAATCACAAGAAAGAGCTTGCTAAATATTACTTACTAAGCTGCCTTAGAACAGGTTACCTGAAGAGGAAGGAAACTCCCCATGACTAGGGATATTCAAGAAGATTCAAAGTCATCAATTACTGATGTGCTGGACTAGGTTGCTTCTTTCATTCCTAGGACTGGCCATTCCTGAAATACTTATTTTAGATGGGAAATCCAAAGCATATATGAAAAGCCCCAGTTGGATCCAACAGGTGAGGAGAGGCAGGAATAAAATACTCCAATGTCACTAGGCCTAGTACCCCTCCAGCAACTCCCATGTCTTCATTATCTAGTTGGTATACCAAGAGTAGATAATAGGTGTTCATGGTATGCTGAGGGTATCGATCCCATCAGGCCTCAGGGCTAGGCTTCTGCTATACAAATAATATAATTTGTTTGGACAACTACCTTATACCACACTTCCATTCCCTAGGGCACTGGGCTGAGGGATGAGGGGAGGGGATGGGTTTTCAATTACTCAACAAATGCTTTCTGAGAGTGCCTACCCTCAAGGAGACTGTGGTCTGATGGGCAAGACAGATATAAGTACTGCTATGATATGACAGAAATATGAGAGATAGATAAGTGAGACTGTCTCAAACAAAAAAAATTTTAAAGGACTGGGGATATAATTCAGTGTGAAGACCCTGGGTTCAAGTCCCAGTACAAGAGAAGGGAAAGGAAGGGGAAGGGAGGGGAGTGGAGGGAAGAAAACACATGGGGGGGGCACAGGAACTGAAAGCATCCAGAGGAGGGAGTGATTAAGTTTGCCCCAAGAAGGGAAGGGGAAGCTTTTTGGGGAGAAGATACCTTGGGAAGTTTTGCAGGATGAGCAGTTGTCCAGGGTAACGGGAATATTTGATGCATTATCTGAGGTATGCATTAGATCCCCTCACATCACCTGGTCATTCCTTTTTCTTCCAGTCCTGTTCCTTTCTATCACTCCCAGTCTGAGGAATCATCAAATGGGTGCCCATAACTCAAGGATCATGTCTACACATGGACAAATCAAGAGGGGAAACTTAAAGTCATAAAAACAAAAGAAGTGGCCTCCACCCTAAACTCCTAGCCAGACCGCTCTGCTAGTCCTAGCCCTTTCTCTGAAGCAGATGCCCTTCCAGGAAGTTGGAGAGCTTCCTGCAAAGGAAGTTGGCTGCAGGACCTTCAGAACTCTCTCTAAAGCTAGGGCCCAAGGCCCTATGTCCAGGTTCTGCCTCTTTTCTACCTACAGCCTACAGCCTAACTTCATCTCCTCCCCTGCCTGACAATCTGACAGTTTCTTCTCTTCCTTGTCCTGTTCTTCCCCCTTCATATTCCCCAAACCACTTTCCCATCCTTCTTCTACCTGGAGCTCTATGTTAACTCTGGAAGGGAACTTGGTAGGAATCACCAACTTCACTTTTTTTTTTCTTTTTGTAGTACTGGAGATTGGATTCAGAGCCTTTGCAATGAGCTCTATCCTCAACACTTTTTATTTTTCATTTTGAGACAGGGTCTGACTAAATCACCAAGTTGCCCAAGCTGGGCTCAAACTTGTGATCCTCCCTCAATATCCTGAGTACTAAAATTATAGGCATGTGCCACCACACCCAGCTCAGCCTCACTGCAGACATAACACGGGCAAGTAAACCTCAGTTTCTGGGTCTCAGGTAACAGAGAGTCAGCGGATGAACTAGGAGTATAACAGCAGCCAACACAGGTCTCATCTCATTTACTCTGATATCCTATAGAGAAAGGATTCTCATATCTGCCCAGGTACCCCCATATCCCTCTCCAGAGAGTGAATGGCCATCCACAGAACCTCAGATGGCATGAAACCCACTCGTAGAACACATACACATGTACATAATCAGGCCCCAAGCAAACAGGCAAATAGTTTCTCTCATGAACGTGCCCTACTCAGAGCCATTATAAATAGTCATAGCCCCCACAATCTCTCTCTCTCTCTCTCTCTCTCTCTCTCTCTCTCACACACACACACACACACACACACTTCCATAGTGACAGGCATAAGCCCACAGATCTATACTGCTATACTATAGGACCCAAAATACCCTCTAGCCCAGTCCTTTTCTCTTTGCTCTCCAGAAAACCCTGGAGCTCCTGAATCTGCTCCCTATGAAGTAATGATTGGGTTCCGAATTTAGGGGCTACCCAATCTTGGTGACCCAAGCCCACAGAATCCTCATGGAATGTTGAAAGAGACTGATCCTTGAGACCTCAATTTTCAATCATCCCCAAATCGCCCAATGTGTTTGACGGATACCAGTGGAGAGCTCGCTACTCCTGTTAAAGCAGACTTACAATCCAAAAACAGATCCAAAAAGGGCCTGAATATGAGGTATCAGTGCCTCCAATCCCTACCCCACAGTGTGTGGCCGTTGTCTCCTTGAAGTGGAAGAGCAGGGACCAGAGGATGCAGAAGAAGAAGGCGACAAGTGGACAGCAGACCGTGACCAGGGCCACCAAGGTGAAGCGGAGCCGTACCAGGGTCCCATCCCGGTCCAGCGGCAGTGGGACCTGGTACATCTTGTTAGACCTGAGGATGGAGTGGCATGCTATCAGGGGCCCAGGCAGCCCAGCTAGGTCCAAGTGGCAAAGTCAGCTCAGTCCTAAACTTAGATGTACTATGGCATGGAGAGTCTGGGAAGAAAGTTTCCTAAACTTGGACAACTCCTGCCCTGGATGAGGAAGACTGACTCAGAATCCCAAGGCAACACTCAACTACCATTTCAGAGGGAAGACAACGAACTCAATCTGTACGAGGATGAAGCCTGAATATCTAGATTGGGAGACCTCAGCCTTCTGCCTGGCTTGAGAGGCTAGGACCACAGGTGCTAGTTTATTTAGTCTCACTATTTTAAGAACCAACCAGAGGGCAGATAGCCCATCACCTCCCCAAAGCTTCTGAGCCTCAAGCTCAAACCCCAGGCTTAGGACCTCTCATCAGCTCCCATAGCTTCACCCATCAGCTCAGGGTCCCCTCCTGCACCTCTAGTCCCTGCCAGGCTCTGTGTGCAGGCCCCAGCAGTCCACAGCAGCAGGGACTCCATGGAACCTGGCATAACCTCAAGCCTCTGCATCAACACACCCCACCCCCACCCCCGCTGCTGCCTCATGTGCTCAGAGGGTGAAAGGCTGTGCAGAATCAGGCCTGGCACTAGCTTGGGCTTGCTGTTTACAGGAGAGCGCTGCTTGGTCAGCATCTGGAGGCTTCCCCACGCCAAGGGGCCTGTCCACCCACTCACTCCTCAGACTACATGAGAGCTCTTGAGGACAGTAATTTCTCCTTCAGATGAGGGTTATCCTAAAGTCAGGAACTATGCTGGAATACACCAACAATCCTAACCCAGCTCCCTTCAATGTAAAGAAAGAGAGGTTGAGGCAGGAATCTTCTCAGGGTCATAAAGCAAATAGATGGAAAACTTAGCAGTAGGGAGATGTGGGACCTACAAAGAGTTACACACTGCAACTCTGGCTTTCCTTGAGCCCTTCCTTCCTCTCTGGGTCAGAGGTGTGGGCAGTAAGACCAGATTAGGACTGGGAAAGGGAGAGAGAAGGGGTACCTATCCATAGGAGAAAGAAAAAGAAAAATTGTACTGAAGAAAATCAATCAGCCCTGTTCCCACTGTAAAGACAGAGAAACAAAAATGCAAAGGGAGAAAAGCCCTTCATCAAAGCTGAGCCTAAGGGAAAACCAAGCACAGAACTTAGGCTTCTCAGCACCAAGATCAGGCTGACTCCACTTACATAAGAACCTGTTCTGCTGGTCTCAGGCCTTACCAAATCAAGTCCTAACTCTTTCCGGCCCCACCCTCTGAACTCTCCTCTCTAGTCCCTTCCTCAAGAACTCTGACCTCAGTTTTACCAGTGTCCTGGCATTCCAGAACAAGCCAGGTGGATATGCCTTGGCCTTCTCATCTACCTTCCCCACCTGCCTCTGCCAGGCCCAATCAGGCAACCTGCCCTAATTTGTGTGTGTGTGTGTGTGTGTGTGTGTGTGTTGTGTGCGCGCAAGGGCGTGCACGTGTGGAGGGGGAGGTGTCAGCAATCTCTCCAGGGAATTTTTGGAATTGGAAGTGGTTATGATACCAAACACATTCCTCAGATCATCCCAAAATGGACTCTAAGTCCCTTAGGACTCTCTCTACATGAGGAACACCTTCGTCACCCAGTCAAAACTCAGACTCTTATCACTGGAGTAGATCCAGGCCTCCCCTTCCAACATTTCTCCCTGAAGCCAGCTGTTCCAGATCTCTCAGGAAACTCCAGGGATGCAGGGAATGAAAAGTCCCTGTCTCGGGGAGGTGGGTGACATGCGATAGTCTCAGAAACAAACAAACAAAAAATAGAACAATAAAAGATAATCAGTTACACTTCTTGGAGGTATGTGTGGCCCTCTTTTAGCTATGTGACTCACTCTGGGTGTGCTTCCATAGTTGTGCAACACGAAGATCATATGGCTTAGGTTTAGGCTACTTCTAAGGCCTCTCTACACCCCAGGACAGGGAGCCTCACTACCTGCCTGTTCAACCCTAGACAGCTTTAATTTCCTCTTAGGTACTTCTTAGCTGAACGCTGCTTTCTTAGGAGTATCCTACTTCATCTTCAAAGTTCCTAGAGATCTTCCTACCATCACCCCTCATCAGAAAATACATTTGCTGGGGATCTGCTATGCAGTAGGCAACCTGCTCAGCAGTAGATATATGTTGTTTCTTAAATGTAATTTGTTAAGTAGGCACTATAGTCTATGTTTCCGTTTTACAGAAGAGGGAACTGGGGCTTAGAATGGTTAAAAGGACTTATTCAAGGGCCTGGGATTTAGCTCAGTGGTTCCACCGCCTGCCTTGCAAGTGAAACGTCCTGAGTTCGATCCCGGTTCCAAAATAAAAGGCACTTACTCAAAAACCACAGGCTAATAACTGGCAGGGCTGGGATGTGAAATAAGTCTATGAAGTTCCAAGGCTCCCCCACGCCTTCATTGCCACACCTGGAGTGAATCCTGACCGGGAGGCCCTGCAGAGTAAAGAAGGGAGAGTTCAATCCCTGCACACAGAGTCCCATGTTGGGGAGGGTAAGGGCAAGGGAGGAGGCCGGCTCAGAGCCTCGCTAGGCAGCAGTTCTGAGATAAGATTGTGTGAGGGAGGAGGGCAGGCACCAAGACGGAGACCCCGGGGCCGGTGCAGTGGAGGTCGGACCGCGAGGCCGAGTCCGAGTCCGCGGCGTGGGGCTGCTCCGAGACCCGCATTCGAGTCCTCGTACTCACCCAAGCGGTAGTGGCGAGGAGGCCTCAG